TTGAAGATGTTTACCTCATGCGTGATGAATTGAAGCAGAGTCGTGGTGTGTTTATTAGTCATATTTAAAATTTCAAATATAAGGAAAGCACTTTATATGAGATTTATGCATTCTTTGAACCATTCGTGTTTAGGATGTGGATTTGTAAAGTACTCCCAGAGAGATATGGCATTGGCAGCTATAAATGGTCTTAATGGGATATATACAATGAGAGTGAGTGTTTTCTTGTCTTTTTCTTTGGAATTACTTTAGTATAATACTGTGTTATTAAATGCTATCCTATTATATCACACATATATTTCTATTCCTGCACCTCAGGGTTGTGATCAACCACTAACCGTCCGGTTTGCTGATCCTAAAAGGCCTAGGCTTGGAGATTCAAGGTTTCTTCCTCTTTGTTTTTCTTAGACATGCCTTGAGGCTTCTTTATATTTTTTTGGCCACTGGTTAAATCTTATTGTTCGTTGGAGTGATTTAATTGATTCTTTTTTATATTTAGCAATGTGCAGATATCAATTTGTAACGGATTCCTAGATGTTTCTGACAGTGTTCTTGTTTAGGGGTCCTGCATTTGGGGGTCCAGGTTTTGGTCCTCGATTTCAAGCCCCAGGGCCCAGGTAATCCCCCCAATGATCCGAATGCTGTTGTGAAGTTTTTTGTCTGCATTCTCTTTGTTGTAGCCATTTACATTCTTTGTTTCTAACTTACTCCAAACAGACCAATGCCTAACTTTGGTGATCCTATGCGCGACCAAATTCCAACTAATACTTGGCATCCAATGAGTCCACCAAACTTAGGATCATCCACCAATCCTGGTAGTCGTGGCTTTGGGGGCAATTTGCTTCCTCGGTCTGGAGACATGCCGTTTCCCTTGAATTCAGTAAGAATAATTCAATGATTTTGCAACATTGCTCCTCTAAGAAATGTCCCTTTTCTTGTGTTCGCGTAAGACATCCAGGGAAGGCATACAGATGCCGTAAGTAACGCATCTGTAGTGATTCTTGATTGGATGATATTACCGTAACCTTTTCATACCATCTGCGGCTGAAGATGAAAGGGTGGCTGCAGGGGCGTTGTGATTTTATTGTTTACATTCACGATCTATATGATGCTAGTTTCTTATTAGAGTTTTTTGTTATAAGTGTGCTTAATGGCCTTTAAAAATCTAATTATTTGCTCTTTGAATTTTTAGGGTGGCCATGGCGGCTCTGCAGAGGGTCCTCTTCCTGGAATGGCAGTTTCGTCTTCTTTAACATCACAAAAGGTACAAGGTGTTAGAACTTTATTTTAATCTACGTGGTAGTCTAAAGTCGAAATAATTATTTCTTATTTACCCGTATTTCAGTGTGGTTTGATTGGATCTGTTTCAGAGTTTTAACCAGTCCATGCCACATGTTGGCCAGCAAATATCTCCATTACAGAAGCATATTCAGTCACCTCAGCATTTGCCACCACCCCTCCAACAGCACCCTCAAACTTCGGCATCATACACACACAGACAAACAGTACGGCAGCTTGGTCAGGCTCAACTTCCTCATTCTGCTGGTCAAACACCATTTAGTCAAGCATTACCGCCACAACAGTTTCTTGGCTTGGGTGGACAGTTGTCTGTTCCTCAGCCTGAGGCTCAGAAGAATGCGCCTTCTGCTACAGCACTACCAGCCCCTTTGAATATCAGCTTACAACCTCGGCCCATGCCCACTGCATCAAATCAACAGCAGTCTGGTTCTGCTCCTGCTCAGCAACAACTGATTCAGCCTCTTCAGCAGTCACCCTCTCCGTTAGCTCAGATGCTGTCGCAGCAGACACAAACTCTGCAAGCAAGCTTTCAATCATCTCAGCAGGCGTTCTCCCAGCTCCAACAACAGCTGCAGCAAATGCAACCATCAAATCAGGGGTTGGCAATGCATCAGAATCCCCAGGCTAACAAACAGCAACAGGTACTTTAAAATTAGTCAATTGTTATCTTGTAGGAGTATGTGGTAATTGGATGTCCCAGATGCGGTACCATGAGGATTGTAAATTTAGTTGCTTAAATGGATTGATTGCATGACTTGTGGCTATAGAACTGTAGAACAATGCTGTTTTGATTGCCAAAATATGGCTAAAGCTAGGTCGTCACCTGTAAGTGGCGCGATGTGTGGCCCGAGCACAGTGATAAGTGAGCAAGGGTCGCTGTATCTCCATTGGCACCCGGATGCTGTGTTAAATGAGCAAGGGGGCCGTAGAAACTTATTTTTGAACGACTCTACTCAAAGTTGTTTGGAAGCAGGCTCACATCAACTTTACCCAGGACATGCAAAAGTAGTAAAGTAGTACTTTGACTTTACTAGACAGGGGAGGGCAAAGAAGATAGGACAGGAGGGTAGGGTTCAAGAGAGCGGAATACACTTAGGAACGTGGAATATAGGAACGTTAATGGGAACATGTATGGAAGTAGAGGTTCATTTTTTTTTGCCACTTTGTTTTTTTATTCGGTTGTATCTGTAACTGTGGTTAGTAAGCTGTGCATTTTAGCTTCTGCATACATTTGCCCCACGAGTGTATGTTGGTTGCCTGTCAACCTAATCATTTTGACCTGCCTGCTGCTGATTTTATGATACCATTCGTATTTCTCAGAGTTAGAAGTTTAAGCCCTATACGATCTTTGCATTTGGCTGGTTGCCTGTCAACCGGATAAAATTGTCTGTGATGCTCTATTGCTTCTTCTAGTTGTCTTAACCATCTCCAACCTTGGAAGCTGAACATTATATTTGTTCCTGCAGTCTCAGTGGACTGGGGTTGCATCACATACAGTTGCCAGCACTACTGCTTCCACACCGGCGGTGGATGTGCTTTCAACCACATCTGTTGCTCCAGCTATTCCCGGATCCCAGGCTATAGCTCCTGCAAAATGTGTTTGGACAGAGCACACCTCCCCAGATGGATACAAGTACTATTACAATAATGCAACTGGTGAAAGCAGGGTAAGGATTTTGTCACTCAGATTCCCTCTTTTTGGCCTTTTGACTTCAATCTGATTGATGCTGCTCACGTGACTTGTAGTGGGAGAAACCTGCCGAACTTATATTGTTTGAGCAACAGCAGCAACAAAAGGCACCAGTTCAGCAGCCTCATGTCGCATCGCTCCCTCCAAATCGGTCTGCACAGCAAATTTCTCAAACGCAACAGCTGCATCATCAATCTCAGCTTCAACCACAGCTACGGACTAACTTGCAGTTACAACAGCCCTCGTTTTCTTCATCGGTCAGTGTTTCCTCATGGTTTCTCGAATGTTAAAGATTTGATTGTGGTTACTAACTCATTACTTTGAATTCCAGTATCAGGCCTCTGGAATTATAGGTCACCAAAATGTTCAGGTAAATTTTGCACCTACTATTACCCAAATAATTCACATTCGCAAGAAAAATAAAAATATTGAGTTTTCCCCTAAACAGTCCATTTTTAATTGGTTCTTTTCATCATTTGTATCTCCAGGAAGGAAGTTATTCACAATTATCCACACCTAGCTCAGTCGGTGATCCTTCACGCTACCAACAGGTATTCAGTTTTTAAATCCAGGTGCTCAGTGTATTTTAAGTATCACAAATTAACTTTAGTTCTCTGTTTCTGCCAAGGGTCTTCAGGCTGCTCAGGAGTGGATGTGGAAGAATAAACCAACAGGTTCTAATCAATTATTTTCGTTCAAATTGTGATGTCAGTTTGGGTTTTACTAACTGATCTAGCAAGATAATGGACTCGTAATGGTTAAATTGGAAAATTCCTAGAAAGGGCTAGGTTTATTGTGTCTATATAGAATGAGAAGAAATGTCAAATATTCGGGTCTTATGCGCTGAGCATTTGTCTACTGTTTTAACCCCTTTCTAAATTGGTGAACATATTTTCAATCTCCAGGCGCTTGAAGTGGTCAAGCAGAATGTAAGGTGGCACGTCGTCGGCAAAAGAATTGATGCTCGGAGGAAGCCGAACGATAGCATAATTGTATGAATTTTGATCACCATGCAGCCAAGGGTCCTTGTTAGAGCTTGAAAATGCTGAGTAGGATGTGTGTAGTGTAGTGGAAACGTTCTTCGGCCCTTCGGTTCCTTTTTTGTGAGCCTTTTTTTTAACTGTTTACAGTTACTGGCTCACTGAATTGAACACGTGTACCATTAGTACTGGGCAACCATTTGCCTAAAATCGAGTCGTAGGATATAATTGTAAAACATAGAAATCAGATAAATATTAGTTTAGCTTGTACTTAAACCCAAAAAATAAAATATTTGGTAGATAATATGTCATTAGCTTTGCCATAATTTGCATTACAAAGCTAACTAATTGAGCCTTCCACTGTAGGAAAGTGGTTTACCACTGTAGGCTAAAAGGTCAATTGACACTTAGGCAATTCCTACGAATCTCTGTATTCATCCCAGTAACTACTCCCAAGCTTCCCATTTTTACCATACAATATTCGAAGTCTTCGAAGAAGGCGGACGGGTCTTGTGCGTAGGTTTCTACCAGTTCACGCATTTGATCGTCTCCGGTCGCGAGATGCTATTCGGAAAGCAGCAAACCCTCCCCGGAGAGAAGCATAAGAGAGTACTGGTCGTCAAACGTTGCTGGGGTTGCTAGGTCAAGGTTTGCCAGCGTGTCAATGTCGGATTCTGAGCACAGCTGCCGCAGCAACTGAATGTATTCAAGAGCCGTGGTGGAGCGTTGTAGGCGGGCGGTGAAGGTGGTGCAGGCATTTCCCATCTTATGTGCACCCGCGGCAAACAGAGGAAAATGTCGGTCTTATTTTTTCACTCAAATGAAGCACAATATTGAGAGTAGCAGAGAGTGCAGCCATGTCCTTCAAGCAAAGGTTTACATTTCGGAACTTGGATAGCAGTTGTGCAACAGTAGAATTTGGGCCTGGAATGTTGTTATTTGCTAACGATTTGCTAGCAGTGAAGCTGCCCTTCCTTCCCATTTGACTATCCTAGCTAGGTCCACCAGACTGCAGGTTCAAATTCAAATTTTTAGTCGAAACTCGAAGGTAGCATATCTGGGCTTCCTGAGAAGTCTTCCTGTTGCACCCCTTTCTTGTTAACAAAGAAAAACATGAAATATGTAGCTCTTAGCGCACACACCACAACGATGGAGTCTCGGACAGCAACTGCAATAATGTCAGCACATGAAACTGTTCGAGGGCAAACAAGTTCAAGATCCTGTTTTATTGCATCAATCACTCCAAAACCCCTCAGAGAGTTAAAGTTAGGCGCTGCTATTTTTTCACCAACAATGTTCTCATTGTCATCTAGCAATACTGAAGCATCGCAGCCCTGCACAATTCACATCATTTTAAAAGTATATATATTTAGCAATATGATAATGTATAAAATAGTGGAAACTAGAAAACATGCATGAACAAAGCAGTCGTGGAAATGGAGATGAAGCAGAGAGGCTGCCATTCTTGGGTCTTCAAACACATTGAGTCTGATCCCAGCAGCTGCATATATTATGGCCTCTGCCTCCGGGCATCTATCGTTGTACACATCATTTCCCAAGAGGTCACCACAATCCTCATCTCCATATCCTCCTCCTCCTCCTCCTCCTCCCATGGTTTTCGGCACGATTGCAAGAACAATCACAACGTTCAGAATAGTGAAAAGAGAGCCAACTTCGTGGCCATATTGTGTTCTAGCTGTTCTCTATTCTCTCAGTACTTTAGGGAGTGTGAAAAGGCGAGTAAGGGTGGTAGAAGTTTTTGTATTATAAAGAAGTTGAATGGGAGGGTTTAGTAACATCGAGGAGAGATTTGGTCGTTGAGATTTGGTGTTTGAGTCTGTGAAAGAGGTCTAAAGGCAAAATGGGTACGGACTATTATTGGTTGTTTAAGGGTAAAGATTTGTTCCTCATTGGTTTGATATGTGCATAATCTTTTCTTTTGTGATTTTATAAATACGGGTTAGTTTGTAGGATGATACTTGGCTTATTCCTTTAGAAATAGGCATTCCTACTTTCATTTCAATCACAAATTGGCATGTGTGTTTTGATGAGTTATGTATGTATATGCGTTAAACTGTGATTTGTAAGAATGAAGAATGACTCCTTCTTAAGATAGTGCCCAACAATGTCCTAAAGTTTTTTTATTTTTTATTTTTTTTATTTTATCAGAACAATGTCATAATATTTATGTGTCAGACTATGACTCGTACCTAACGAGAATATTCCTTACATGTGAACAGTCAAGCATGTTCAGAGGATAGTTAAGAGACATGGTCAATTAAGCTTTTATAAGAGGTCATTGTTTGATGAGCGCATATGCACGTGTATATCAATATTTGGGATAATGGAAATACCATGTTTTGGTTTCAAATTAACTAATTTGGTAATTAAGTGTAGATCACTCTAATCCGATTGAAGGTACATCATTAACTAGAAGAATGAAATCATGCACTCCAATTGGATAGGGTTTGAATAAGTTCGTGCAATTTCTTACCTTAAGGGGGCGTTTGTTGCGCAGGACTATCTCGGACTGGATTAGCTTCAAGGACTAAGCTGGACTGGCTTAGACTAGACTAAATTGGACTAACTTAGTGAAACGTTTGGTGCAGTATTAGACTAAGAAGCTGGATAATAACAAATTCTAATATTATATTATTTAATATATAAATTATTAATATTTTATTATGATCTTATCTTTTTCTTCATCTTTTTCTTCATCTTTTCCTACCATTTTCGTCCCACTCTTTTCCTCTTCTCTCATCGTCCCACCCTCTCCCTCTCTTTTTCCTCTTAGACCTCTCAATTCATGTCTTTTTCTCATTCCTGGTCAAACTCCTTATTGATTCCAATCTCTATTTCTCTATCCTCCCTCCCTCTCTAGCAATGCGTTGTTCGAATGGAACCTCACGGCTCCAATTTTCCCGACGAGTTGCAGGTTTCCCGATGTGTTTTCCGGCCAACCCTCGTTAAATTGGATGAAGTTAGCACCGCCAAAAAATTCATCACCATCCCTAGACCGAGATCTTAGCTTTGAATGCTCGAATCTGTCATGGATTTGAAGAAGCCCAAACAGGCCGAGACTTCCAGGCTATTTTCCGGCCACATTCGACCACATTTTGGCCTCGATTCAGGTAAAATCGTAATCTTGTCACTCCCAGCTTCAATTTGGTATATTTTATATGAAAGTTGGTTGTGAAATGGATCTGAAAGAGAGTCAGAAAGTTAATGATTGATCTAGGTGACCGGAGATGATGAGGAGTCTGTAGGGAGTGGTCGTTGAGCATGACGAGGACGAGAAAGAGAGGATAGTCTTAGCTAGTCCCATGGTTATTGGGGGGTCTCGCTAAGACCTCTTAGTGAAGGGTTTTGTCCATGCTAGTCCCCTTTAGTCTCATTAATGTTAGTCCCAACATGGAACAAATACAGTATTGGACTAATAGCTAGTCCAGTCCAGTTCAGTCCAACTTAGTGAGGGCAAACAAACGCCCCCTAAGGGCCTTAAAAGGCCGGTTTAGAATAACATCCTACGAGCAAAGAAAGGCACTGTGCGCTTGCACTCAATGATTAAAATGATCCATAGTGTTTATATTTCTGTGATGCCAGGTTCTAAGGGGGTTGATATTGTATGCCCGAGGGATGCTGGCAAAGGGGGCTGAAGAAAATTGAGATTATCCAAGGTGGTTAATGATGGTGGGAAATGAGTTATGGATTCGAATTCCTCCAATATAAGTGACAAGGCAAGTGGGACAAACTGAATTTACCTTGTCAACTCCGTACCTGCAAAGTAACTGTAGACATCAAAATTTCGGAATTTTTCGTGTTTACAGTAACTTTGCTTCATATAGCTACCTCAGTGATAAATTTTTAGCAAGTAAATGTTGATGGCAAAGTGGCACGTAGGCCATCAAATTGCACATCACATAGTAATTAATTAGGTATTGGTATAATGATCTATGCTCTAATTGTTTGAAGAGAGATTTCAAGTTTGATTTTCCTTACCCCTTTATTAAGGGAATAATTTACATGAAACAGATTTACCATCACGTGGTGTTCCGATTCACCAGTGCATTGTCATCTGGATAAAAATTTGCTCATGAAAATATATTATATTGGACAGAGGACGGAACGTGGCCGTGAACACGTTACATATAAATCATTCTCTTTTTTTTTTTTAATGGAAAGCATACAATTTGCTCAAAACGTTACTTTATCCCACGAGGTCATATATGTATGTATAATGTATGTATGTACATACGTACGCACGTATATTTGTATATATGTATGTATGTATTTATTTGGGTAAAAATTGGATATTCTGCACAGATTTTTTTCCCCTCAAATGTACATGACTTAAATGTTTGTTAGATGAAATATCAAGCCGAGTGCTAGTGGGTTTGGGCTGTACATTTAGTTTCTGCATCTGCATGCTTTGTATGGGTTAATTTTAGCTTTAGATTTTGGAATCCAATCAAATTTGGATTCATGTGCATCTCAAACACAAATACATATGTAACTAAATTTGCATAAGGGATCTACTTTTGACTAATTGGTAACTTGAAAAGCATTTTGTTCCCTTTTCTCTAATTTCTAAATCTCACGAAATTAAAAGAATGTCAGGCACGGAGGGAATATGATATGATATTGGATAACTTTTCACATGATTTTGTACAGCCAGACAAGACTTTGAAGACGCACTCACAAATCACAATTAGCTCAAATTCGATCGAGGTCGGCATGCAGCAGTGAATTAATGGGAATCGAACTGTTCATATTTTTGAAGCGTATTCCCCTGCTGTTTGAATCAAATTTACACAAAGAATATCCAAATATTATTACACCTTTTTTTTTTTTTTTTTTTTTTTTCTGATTATATATAGACACACTTTTGGAGTTCCTTTAGGCATCTGATTATCTAGGTAGCATTGAACTTATTGCACTGCTGCATGTGGAGCCAATGTCTAAACTTTTCTGAATACATAGTTTATGTGCTCAACGGTTTGAAATTGCATTTTGGCAACGAGTCGCGATGGCAAACACAATATTTACAGTTGCTCGTTTAGTTCTATTAATCTTAGATTTGATACTACTTTTGGACTCATGAAATCGCTGTATGTGCAAATGCGTGCAGACAAATCTATTGCAAAATGCATTGTTTGAAGAAACCAAAACTCGAAACTTGAAATGGTAGAAAAGCTATATATAGTGAATTTGCCGAACTTTTTCCACTTATTAGATCCCTTTGGTATGGACTCTGAGAAAAGCACGAGCTAGACATTTTGTACAAGACGACTTGTAAGATCTTTACGAATTTTCAACATCCTCCTACAAACGTGCGGTTCTCCAAATTTGTCTAAAGCATTAATTCTACTAAGAAAAGTTCAGGTTTAAAACATACGCTAAATCCTACATTTGTTTACTTATTATATGTACATGTTTATTTTTTATTTTTTGATAAACGATAGCAATAGTGGATTAATTGTAAGTTGTTAGAATGAAGGAGAATCGGTAGAAATCGAACCCACACCATGGTGCAAAAGCATATATTTGCTTTCACCACCAGTTAAAGCGCTGCATGTTTATATACTTTTATACAAGATCACTTGTATTGATTGTTAATTTGTAGTACCAAATAAGAAAACAATATTACTAATGCGATTTTGCTCACTGCCCTAAATTAGTGGTGAACATCATCACCACACTGATTGTTGTTAGTTAAGTATGATTAAATGTATTGCACAAATGTTAAAATTAAACCCGCATAACAGCAATGGTCAGAAAAAATATATCCGAGGAATCATTGGGATAAGGGTAGCTACACATGCATGCATGGCGCAATTCTGAAAGCTCGCATCTAATGCTTATCTCTTATACATATAGCTTACACATAGATTATGTGGCTTCAAGTGCTGTATAGCTTTAAGTAACTCAAGAATTTAATACCATCCCCTAGCTAGCAAAGACAGCACGATATGGAGGACTTCATGAACTCCAATGGGTAAGAAACCCCATATTATCTTCAACAATCCTAAAAGCAACCCACATTGCACCCCAAAATCTTACACCATCCTCTCAAATCAAGAACCCAATCCTATTTCCTTGCCAAGAAGCTCACTCCATTCTTAAATGACAAACAAACCCCAATTCTTTTACTCAAAGAGGAAGAGAATGTCATTAAATAAAAAAGTTAGCATTGATGGCAGCCAAGTAAGATTAATTATACATATATAATTTATACATATCCATCCATTTATTTATGTACTAAAGTGATTGTCACACTCTTTTTGTCTCTCCCTACACACATTTGCTTATTTTTTTTGTTATTAAATCAATAAATCAAAGAGAATTCATGGACAAAAATAATCGAGGGTGTAAAAAAAAAAAGTGTCTAAAAATCAATTCTCATATATGATATATCTATCTATGCATGCCCTAAGGTATTGCATTAATTTGGCTATGTAGACTTTTTCAAAACCATCTTATACCTTTTAGGGTTTCCTACCATTACTGACCAAAAAGTATAGGATCAAGTTCCCATGTTCATTCTAGATTCCACCTTTTCCCCATAAAATCCTACTGGTAGTAGACATGGAAAAACAAGGTAAACATTTCCAAA